CACCTATATCAGTCCTCAGTTTATGGATTCAGAGAACAAGCAACACATTAACGTTGGCGCTGGCTTGCATGAGCGTACTTGAATCATTGCACGTATTATAATGTTGTAATGTAGATAAGTGAAATAATTCACTATATACACTTTTATATGTTTGTCACATTCTAGTATTACTCAGCCAGAATATACCATAACATTCAGAACTTGCAAGATCTGTGACAATATACATGAACTGATTGTACTTCTGAGTGATGGACTGGGGAGGAGGATCAGCTCAATTTCTCTGAATTCTTACACATTTATGGCACAATTTCAAAACTGACCTGTACATAAATATACATTGAGTTCTTATTTTGCATGAAACTGGGTATCTGGAAGTTGTGTTGTAAACTTTCTAAACTTGACAAACACTAAAGTTGACAATTTAACTCAATATAATTGGCATAATTTGTCCACTAGGATATATACATGTTCATATATAGGGATGAATTGACTTTTTATCCACATAATGCTTCAAGCTTGAATCTACAAATCATTCTTTGTTACGTAAATTCTATAAAATTTTAAAGTGGGATAAATTATGTAATCATTATTTTATTGTCTGCACATTAGTCCCAACATCTCTGACTCTTGGATTTTTTTATTGTCAACTACAAATCCTAACCAATATTGGTGTTTATGTTTTGGTTTTTATGTTACAAATGCCACATATCCTCTTGTGTATTGTATACAAACAGTATGTCTTGGCATACAAAAATGAAGAACAATTCATAAATGTTTAAGAAAATTGTCTACTAATTTTGGTGGTAAATATTTTTGTGGTTCCCATGTGTTGTCAGTATCTGGAAAGTCCAACCATTTAATGAGAAAATACTGCTTTCTGTTCTCCTTTTTCATATCCAAAATTTTTCTGACATAGTAAATCGGTTTTGCTGGAAAGAAACAAAAAAATACAAACATTAATACTAAAATCACTGGTGATATAAGGTTTAGTGCTATTTCAGAAATATTTTACACTCTTCCCCACCAACCAATATTAGTTCAAGAGCAAGAGTACTTTTATTGTTTCGCCTAACACCCCCTGAAGTTATCTCTTAAAAGCATTGTTGCAATAATTATTCCACTTTATCTAAGCACTCATCAAACTTTCAAGCGACTCCCATTCCCACTGGTCGATCAATTATGAAAAAGCCCTTCTGCAACTCTGAACTTTGGAATTGTTGCAATATCTTGCTTGTAAGGAAAAAGAAGTTGTTTACTTGTGAAAGTATCTTAAACAGGCGATTCACTTCCAATATGATAAGTCACCATTAATAGCTAAATAAATGACAGTTTATCATATATAATAGGGCTTAAAGATAGTGTAATGTTCATTTTATTTTCAAATCAATGAAAAGGGTTACAAATAAATGTCTTACTTATCAAATAATGGGTACTTACATGTTGCTGCAGGACTTGCTTTTTTGCTTACTTTTGTTTTTTTCTGGCCATCACAATTGGACTTTTCTGAAATGCAATTTTAACATGATGTTTTAAATGTGTAAAGCAAGCACATATTTATCTACAAATAAGCCCCTAACTGTCCATAAATAAACCCTTCTTTGTCTTTTGAACCATATTCAATTTAGAAATTATAGCCTAAAAATGGTTCACAAATTCCCCCAAACTTCAGCACTAAATCTAAACACTTGTAGAGGGGCTTACTTGAGCAAATCTCGGTCTAAACAACATATAATTCACAATTTTGGTTGACCTATGGCCATGGATTGCTTCTGCAAAAAATCATTGAAATTGGTTTCGGGGTTTATGAGAAGAAATTGAAAATATAAATTGTTTACAGATAGATGGCAACAGACAAAAGGCCATTGCAATAAATAGGTCACTTCGTCTCCGGTGACCTAAAAAGTAAGGTGTTAAATTCTTGTAAATTTCCACAAACCAATTATAATTACCCATTTTTCACCTAAAAATACATAAATTGCTTCTGTCACTTTTTATCAAATATTTTTTTTAAACACAAAAGTATTCCGTTTTTTTATCATTTTTTTTTATATGAATGCGGCTTTATATGATTAATTGGACGCTTTTTACAATATTGCTTTTATCCTAGCGATTTTCTTGCTAAGAAAGATATTGATAATCAGTCAATTATGCAATTTACTATAAATACTGGGACAAGTGCGTTTGCAGTCATCGGAAGTGTTGCTGTCATCTGTAGTGGTGCTGTCGTCGGGAGTGGTGCTGTCATCGGTAGTGGTGCTGTCATCAGAAGTGGTGCTGTCGTTTGGAGTGGTGCTGTCATCTGTAGTGGTGCTGTCGTTTGGAGTGGTGCTGTCATCTGTAGTGGTGCTGTCATCGGAAGTAGTGCAGTCGTCCGGGGTGGTGCTGTCATCGGTAGTGGTGCTGTCATCTGTAGTGGTGCTGTCATCGGAAGTGGTGATGTCATCTGTAGTGGTGCTGTCGTCTGGAGTGGTGCTGTCATAGGGAGTGGTGCTGTCATCTGGAGTGGTGCTGTCATCAGGAGTGGTGCTGTCGTTTGGAGTGGTGCTGTCATCGGTAGTGGTGCTGTCATCTGTAGTGGTGCTGTCATCGGAAGTGGTGCTGTCATCTGTAGTGGTGCTGTCATCAGAAGTGGTGCAGTCGTCCGGGGTGGTGCTGTCATCGATAGAGGTGCTGTCGTCAGGAGTGGTGCTGTCATCGGTAGTGGTGCTGTCATCTGCAGTGGTGCTGTCATCAGAAGTGGTGCTGTCATCGGGAGTGGTGCAGTCGTTGGGAGTGGTGCAGTCGTTGGGAGTGGTGCAGTCATTGGGAGTGGAGCAGTCATCCGGAGTGGTGCAGTTGTTGGGAGTGGTGCAGTTGTCGGGAGTGGTGTGCTTGTTTGGAGTGGTGCAGTGGTCTGGAGTGGTGCAGTTGTTGGGAGTGGTGCTGTCATCGATAGCGGTGCTGTCGTTTGGAGTGGTGCTGTCGTCGGGAGAGGTGCAGTCGTCCGGAGTGGTGCTGTCATCGGTAGTGGTGCTGTCATCGGTAGTGGTGCAGTCGTTGGGAGTTGTGCAGTTGTCGGGAGTGATGCAGTGGTCTGGAGTGGTGCAGTGGTCTGGAGTGGTGCAGTGGTTTGGAGTGGTGCTGTCATCGGTAGTGGGGCTGTCATCGGTAGTGGTGCTGTCATCTGTAGTGGTGCTGTCATCAGGAGTGGTGCTGTCATCAGAAGTGGTGCAGTCGTCAGGAGTGGTGCTGTCACCGGTAGTGGTGCTGTCATCTGGAGTGGTGCTGTCATCGGTTGTTGTGCTGTCATCTGTAGTGGTGCTGTCATCGATAGTGGTGCTGTCGTTTGGAGTGGTGCTTTCGTCGGGAGAGGTGCAGTCGTCGGGAGTGGTGCTGTCGTCGGGAGTGGTACAGTCTTAGGGAGTGGTGGAGTTGTCGGGTTGAATTCTGCTTTTTTTGAAATTAACACATTTCAAGTCTTAACTCCTTGAATGCGGCTTAGTAGTCATGTTCAAGGATAAACTTTTTTTTTTTAAGAAGAACCCAGATAAATTCAATTTCAATAAGAACAAGGTTACCGCGAGCGGTATATAATACGCCCGTCACACATTGAATGAGCAGTTTGTATGATTGAAATATATGAAGTATTTGTGAGAAATTGATATTAAAAGAGAAATCATTCAACATAACTGGTAGATCAATGAGTGCAATACAACATCATGGAACGCATGCATCGCATTAATGAAACCAAGGAGAATAACTCCAATAATTACGGTCGGATAGTGGCGGTTATCGAACTTGTCCGAGGTTTCATGGTAATTAACCTTGTTGTGAAGTTTGAAGTTAATCCGTTAATAATTACTCGAGATATCGAGCGGACACTGTTTCGGCAAGTAAAGGGGCATAACTCCACAAATAATGGTCGGATAATGGCGGTTATCGAACTTGTCCGAGGTTTTATGGTAATTAACCTTGTTGTGAAGTTTGAAGTTAATCCGTTAATAATTACTTGAGATATCGAGCGGACATCGTTCGCCTGCCCACCCGCACGCCCGCCGGCCCGCCCGCTCACGTGATAACATAATACGTCCCCGTCTTCGACGGGCGTATAAAAACAAAAAGCAAAAAGCAAGAGGCCCAGAGGCCCTGCATCACCGACCTGATATTTTAGTGACAATGGAATTAGTTATTTGAAGCTGCCTCCAAGTATCATACAGTTGTGGGACCGCACAACGCACCAAAAATACCGTGCGCACATCGTGCACACACCGTCCGCACTCCGTGCACACATCGTGCGCCCTGCGTTCGCACATGGTGCACACAATTGTGCGATTAGCAATCGTTCGCCCCGATGTGCGCTAAAGATCGCACAACTGTGCGGTTTACATTCTATCGGTTTATCAATATTACGAAATGAAATAAAAACGGATTGGGCGCCTGAAAGCGAGGCTTCGTTTCATCGCGGTACTCGTACGGAAAAGATGGATGCTGGTCGACGATTGTCGCCTCTTGCCAGGGAAAAGATATTATATTATCACCATAAAGGACTATCCGGACCGAAAATAGTCGAACAGTTGAGGGTGTGCAAACAGATAATAACCACTCGACAGACAGTTACAAGATTCCTGATCCGAAATAAATCCAAAAATGCAAACACAGAGACAAGGTGAGTGGCGATTGCATTGGTAACTTCAAAGTGACAAGTCCCAGATCCATTTTGTTATATTTACATTTGCCCCCGCGCCGTTCCATTACAACAGTGTTAGAGGGTAAGTGTAATTATATAGGCTATAATTACAACTGCCTGTTTCAGGTGTAGGAATATGCACGGACTTCGATAATCTAATTCCGTGGAATATGTAAACAAACAAAATGGCCGCCTGAAATGTATTTGAGGCAGAGCAAATGTTTTTTGTAGGAAAATGTCTTAAAAAAAAAAAATGTAAATATAAAAAATACCTGGTTGTCTGGATGTAATTATTGTTGATATAATTACAAGTGGCCTCTGGCAAATCTACCATAAACCCCATAGGATTTGCCAGAGGCCACTTGTAATTATGTCAACAATAATTACATCCAGATAACCAATTATTGTTTAAATGTTCACAGGTGTTTGAAAATATTTGTCATTTAATCAAAAAATACAAACATAAAATTTGAGAAGTATGAACTATTTCCTCAATCTACAATAAGAATTTCAATATTAAACCTGTGGTTGATTTTTTTACTAAAGACATAAGCCTAGATCACGTAGCTTTCTGACGATGAGCGATTTTTTTTTTTATATATATTGCAGGGTATTATAGACATGAGGCTTTCAGAACGATAAAATGTCTAGATCTACGAGGATTTGTATCGAAAACTTAATTGTATTTAATTAATGTATGCCCCATAATTGTCTTACATGTATTAGATCCACAGGTACATCTATAATAGTATAGTATGGGTCAAAGAAGCAATATAGACGGTAAAATCTCATATAACACTGGATCCTAATAGTATATAGTAGGTGTATTGACAGACAAGGCAAGTACATGTGTTGTATTCAAATTCTAGGGTACTATCATTTTCATAAAACATGCATTGCAAAGGCTTTGTAAATGTTTTATCCCATAATCATCAATGCATTTAATTATTTTCTTTCCTGATGAAATAAAGAAACATCAAAGTGTTGTAAATTTTACATCTAGCCCATGTACACATTCACTAATGTTGCCTATTAATATCTATATCAAGGGACATACACCGGTAAGTATATGTCTCTAGCCTAATTGTCTGAAACTATGACATAATTGCTGGCCAGTCTACTCAATTGAATTTCATAGATATGATATGAACATTATATACATGTATGTGAGAAAGTCTCCAATACTTATAATAGCAGGTTGCTTGTATATCACTCCAATTATGAAAAGATACTCATAAAACTCATGCAATTATTAAAAATAAACACTAATTATGAGAGTAAGAGAAAGATAATATAGATGATTACACACCATTCGTATCATACACACAAGAGCCTTTTTCACATTCAAAAAGTACCGACATACATGTCTGATTGATTGATTCATGACTATAGATATATATATTTGCTCATTGAGAATCTAGCTGTCCAAATGAGTTGCAAAAAAATTTAAAGATGTTTTTTTATAAAAGCCCTCAAAACCAGCTTGAATGCACAATGATTTATATTACAATGTATTGTATGTAGATGATTTCTTTATCCTGGTATTGTTTGCGACGTCACTATGCTTGTTTATTGATGACATCACTAAAATTGTTGGTGCAAATATTGATGACGTCATGTAACCAATGGTGATAAATACACATTAATCCGCCTGAAGAAGTCCTAGAAGGCAGAAAGGTCAAGCGGAAGATCAGACAGATTAATTTATGATTTATTCTATATTTTCCTTCGCAAGGACTTGTTTATTTATATTTTTATAATATATATATATATATATATATATATACATACATCAAGAATATCTGCTTTGGAGCAAGCCTTAATTTCAAAATTCATCCTGACATTTATTCAAATATAATCTGTCCATTTTTAATCTGCATTCTGTTTAATTATAACCTGATCTATGATTTATATGTATTTAAAAGTAAGATATACTTTTGTGCAAGTCCAAATTTTAAACCAGTTACATGTAGCTAGTTAATATAGGTTTGGTCTTTCACTTTGTATGTATAATATATAGCTAGTCTTTGCTAGTTGCTGAAGTCTTGACCAACCCCAATATGTCATTCATAATTGAAATGGATCTGTAATTCATATTTGTGTATATGTGTGTTTTTATTTCCTTTCAGGAAACAGAAACAGAAAGTTACAGATAGCCATGGAAAGTTCATAGATTTTTGGATAGCCACAAACCCAAATATCAACAGCAGAGAACTGAAAGAGAAATTTGAAGAGACATTTGGTGTTTCGGTTTCTGATTCTTTGATGAGGAAAGTAAGGAGGAAGCTTGGTTGGCAGACCAGAACAAACATACAGTATTGCCAATTGATCACCAATGTGAACAAGAAAAAAAGACTAGAATACAGCCTAAATGCACTGGGAAATAGAGAGGATTTTAAAAATGTCATTTTTGTTGATGAATCCAGCGTGGAGATGAGCAGTAGTGGAAAGATGTATTTTTACAAAAATGGAAGTTGTTTTGATCGGTTACCAACAAAAGCACCAAAACCTAAGCATGCCTACAAGGTAATGATAAAACCTCAGGTAAACTGACTGGTGCAGCTCACCTTGTCTGATATGGTTAAATGTTATAAAAGCAATCTTATACTAGTGTGCAGTCATGTAACCTGAAACATCCTTTTGTCTTTTTGCCCGAGTGTATTATCTAAGATTGGTTCTCTAGCTATAAGTCCCATTTATTTGTGTATATTTTGTTTCCTTAAATTTAATTTCGTGATTATTTTGAGGGTATTTTATTAGTAAATAATATGAGTAGCATTCTTGTGCTATTGTGATTAATTAGAAAATACATTCTTAATTCACCACTAAATTCTCATTGAAGTAATAAAAAAACAAATAACTAAAATTAGTGTAGTACTAGTTCAGACACAAGGTTTTCATGGAACATTTTTGTGCTATATAGAGTTTGTGATGCTCTTACAAAAATTGCAAAGCTGTTTGAATATTTGTAAATTGTTTTATTTGATTTCTTTATTTCCACTTCAAGTGCACGTTTTATTTGATTATTTTATTTCCACTTCAGGTGCACGTATGGGCTGGTATCTCCTATCAGGGCAGAACAAATCTGTGCATATTTAGTGGGGTGATGGATTCGGTTATATACCAGGGAATCCTGCAAGACAACCTCCTTCCTTTTGTGAACATGCGATTCCCTGATGGCTATCGCCTCTACCAGGTAATCATTTATATTAAGTTAGTAATGAGTGCTGCTGGTTATTGCCAGACAGAAAGTACCTTGTAATGATAAATTAGTGTATTGATACATGTAATGTAGTTTGTATTTTCAGTTGAAGATAGGTTTCAACAGAACTTCTAATTCAGTAAGAAGGAACATCTAGGAATGCAATATACCAAAATGAAAATGTTATCTGTTTGTTTGTGCCATTCTTCTTTGCTGATTCTCCTTGATGTACAGTTTGTACCATATTTTTGTTAACATTTTATTGTATATATCTGGCTTAGTTAAAATTACATGTACCATATATATGTATATATAGCGGCATATATTTCTGTACTGTTTTTTTTTAATTTAAGGACAATGACCGAAAACATACTAGTAAGTCAACACAGGAATGGATGTCAGAGAACAACATGCTTGAGAATGTCATGACAGTGCCCCCCTCGTCTCCAGATCTCAATCCAATTGAGAATGTGTGGGCAGCAATGAAAGACTATTTACAAAGAAATGTTAAACCCAAGAAGAAGGAGGAACTAATCACTGGAATCCGCACATTTTGGGAATCCCTGACACCTCAGCATTGTGCAAGGTATATTGACCATGTGCACAAGGTGATACCTCATGTAGTGCTGAACATGGGTGGACCAACACAGTTTTAAGCTATAAAGTGATGACTGTTAGTTTGATAAGACTGTTGTACAGTGAATTTATGTAACTGCTCGGTTGTGATGTGGCTTAAACTTATGTATGTGTGTAGTAAAATGATATGACTTGTATAATGATGACATATGACTTGAAATATGATATGACTTGTATGGTGATATGACTTGTATAATGATGACATACGACTTGAAATATGATATGACTTGTATAGTGAAGTTTAGTATAGCAATATGTCATACATAGCGATATGACTTGTATGGCGATATGACTTGTATAGTGATGTGTATTATAGTGATGCCTTGAATAGTGATGTGTATTATAGTGAAATGAAGTGTATGGATATATGTATGACATTTATAGTGATGACTTGAATATATGTAGGATTGTAATATAGTGATATGACTTGTCTAGTGATATGACTTGTATAGTGATGTGTATGATAGTGATGACCTGAATAACGATGTGTATTATAGTGAAATGAAGTGTATGGATATATATATAACATTTATAGTGATGTACATATATGTATTATAGTGATGACTTGAATATATATAGGATTGTAATATAGTGATATGACTTGTCTAGTGATGTGTCTTGTATGGTGATGTGTATTATAGTGATGACCTGAATAATGATGTGTATTATAGTGAAATGAAGTGTATGGATATATATATAACATTTATAGTGATGTACATATATATATTATAGTGATGACTTGAATATATATAGGATTGTAATATAGTGATATGACTTGTCTAGTGATGTGTCTTGTATGGTGATGTGTATTATAGTGATGACCTGAATAATGATGTGTAGTATATCGATATGACGTGTATAGTGCTATGACTTGTATGGTGATATGACTTGTATAGTGATGTGACTTGTATAGTAATGCGACTTGTATAGCAATATGACTTGTTTGGTGATTACTGATATGACTTGTATGGTGATGACTTGTATAGTGATATGACTAGTATAGTGATATTACTTGGAGTGTTATGACTTCTATAGTGATACAAGAAATATTGCCATCAGCAGATTATATAGTTGTATAAAATGGTTTTATAGAGCTATGTTTTTGTGATTTATTGACATGTAAAGATTAAAGTGATATGGAAGTGTATATATACAGTATACATGACTTTTGTACAGTGATACATTTTTTCTAATGATTACAGTAAAAAAAACTTGAGTTGTCAAAATAAATGATATGATCTATGTACTGTATTTGAATCATGTTTTTGTTTTTCATTTTTACTGCAAATTAAGTATGCATTTTCCATCATTTAGTTGGTCAGCTGGATATCAGATTCATACACTTCTTAAAATAGCAAATAACAAAGGAGGGAAGCAAAGTTCTCATATTTATTTAAGTTTTGACCAACTAGTCGGCATAAGCATGAACACAATTATTGAAACCTAAATGTAGGAGTTCTTTCTCTCACTTTGTTATTTGCTGTGCTTATCATAAGAGGGTTTCTCTAGGAATCCTCCTGAAACCTTGAATAAGAATCTTAAAAAGTTTTCACACATATTGGATGTTGGTTCTTTCCCCGGTACTTGTTAAAATAGTTCATTCTCTGGCCGTTCATACAATATGCAGGTTCCCTAGTGGAATCATAACATCTTATTTGAAATTTGACAAAGTCATACAAGATGTGCATTAATTAGACCATTGGTTTGTTAAAGGCAATTTACCCAAATTAGACCATAGGGTACTCAAAATGTAAAGAGTTCTGAATCATGACAAAGTCATACACTTTGATATAAACTGATGTGCAATAAATGATTTCAATTTAATTTTAATGCTCTTTTCCATACAAATATGGGGCTTATCAGAAATCATGTGGGGCCTTAAGCTTGCTGACCTGACAATTTTGAAGTTTGAAACAAACAACGCAAAACCATGCTTAATAAATATATATCATTCAATTTATTTTTATAATCACTTGATAATAATTGTGGGTATGTCATAATTGTTTTCTTCAATAAAATTTACAATATATTCATACAACACAAAACCAATTTGTCATGTTCAAATTTTAACAAATCTTCATTCGTATATTTGTTTTTACTTTTACTTCTTAATACATACATCCTTAAGGCAATGTGAGATTTATAGTATACTTATATCATCCAAATATCTTTGTCTACAAATCTGTAACATCACAGCTTTCTATTGAAATCTATATCATTTCTGATTGTCATCATCACAACTTGCTATTGATTGGCATGATTATACTTTTCGAACAATATAGAAACACAATGTCAAGGAAAGTTTTCCACTGAAACGAATGGAAGTCTTTTCGGAGCTGGTCTCAGCTGCATGTTCCTCATTCCAGTGTTAATTGAGTTTACACAACTCCTCATGCTGATGGCACTGTCACCCAACATATCAATGATGGCATGTTCAATGGCATGGACTCTCCTTGGTGATAGAGGAAGACGTCCCTTCTTTCCGTAAAAATTTCTATCCCGCATTTCCTCAACTGAGAACAATGTCTGTACAAGCACCCAGCCATAGTTTTTGTCCGAACATGAATGTGATTTTGCAGCACGCTGGACACAAGTTTTCACTCTAACTTCAGCATCTGCAGGAACACTGCTTGTACACAAACTTGAAGTTATTTCCACCACTGGTCCTTTTCTGCATGGGTAGTGCATAACTGCCTTCTTCATTGGATACAGCAGATCATATCCTGAAGCACGAGCGGGTGTGGCTAGATACACTGGTTCTGCAGGGGTTGATACTACAGGTAAAACTGGAGTAGCTGTATCTTGGGCACGGTCAGGCGTTAGAGGTGGAAGTGGTCCCAACACTTGAAAGTCATCATCCATATCATCTGCAGCATCCACTTCTGTCATATACATAACAGGATGAGCTTCATCGGTCCTGGATGTTGATGGCTCCACTACTGGATCAGCGGTCAAGTTAAAACTCAGTATATCTGATAAAGAAACTCTCCCATTGATTTTGTTCAGGTTCGCTTGCAGTGACGGAATGCTGTTATCCCTTATAGCTGAAGTGGTGGTGACAACCTGCTCCAAAAGCTCTAAAATTCTGTCCAGTTTGCCCTGGGTTAGTCCTTCTGTCCATGTAGACTTGTCCAAAGTCTCTTTCTTTCTTTGCAAACACGGCATGGCATCATCTTCTCCCAAAATCACCACTGTATCAGTCAGTGTTGAAGTGGTCTTCTTGCCAAGACGGTGATCCTTAGTCTGTTGTTCAACAACGTCAATCTGATCTTCAGTAAGATGATCTGTGTGGAAGGGCTGGCGTCCTGGAACAGCTTGCTCCGAGAGAAAGTCACCAGATCCCTCATAGTGGACTACAATTTTTCTCCCATTTGTGCCCTGTTGTAGAAATAAAAAGTATACATGAAGACAATGTGAAAGTGTACATGATACTTCGTGATAAAAATTCCTACCAATACCAAGAAAAACTAGCAATAAAATCAGCCAATATCTAAATTTTGGCAAATTACAGGCCATACTGGTGTCATATAAGCTTTGTATCCCCCATAGGATAAGTATGCAGATCTATACTAAAACTGGCAATAAGATAAGTAACCCCTCCAAATTCTATTTAATTGATTTGATCTAGTAGAAAGTACATGTATTAATTAACATTTTTTTATAGTTGGAGACATAAAGAGTTTTGAATGTATATATTACGTTCTGACGTAAGGTAGAGGGTTACAAATCCAAGCCACTACATAAGTCTGCTTGTCTGATAAAAGAGAGGGAGGATACAATCCTACATCTACATTATATAAAGAAATCAGAATTTGCTGACAACAGTGCGAAAACAAATCTTGTTGCTATTTAAATAAGCTTTTCTGATATAAAAGGTGACATTTTGACGTTGTGTGGGACATGAGAAATTCACACTTTCAAAATGGATACCAAACTGGTCACTTGTTCCAAAAAAAAATAGGTCTAAAAAAATACTTTTCAAATATGCATAACTTCAGTGTGTTTATTAGATCAGAAAAATTGAAAAAAGGGTTTGTTGAAAATTGTTAGACCAAGACTATATCTACAGACAGGCAGACAGATGGATGAACAACCTGATCCAATATAAGCACCACTTCATCTTTGCAGATGGTATATGAGTTTACAGACTATTTTGTCCCTTCATAATATTTGTGAATAAAAAACAACCCCATATAATGGATGTTAAAGCTCAACTATATATATACAAGGAGTGCAAGTAGTCCAGGTTTTAAGAAATTGGTTGAAAGCTGAATAGAAGATCTCCAAAAAGAACTGATCATGATCAGTTGAAATAAAGAAAATCAAAAATCAATATAATGGCTCTGATGATGTCATGGTTAAATTTGTTTTTCATGAGCAGTCATGATAACAAATCCTACCATTTCGCTTCAAATGATTGGTCAAAAATGTTTGAGATGGGGGTGGTGTGGTAGGAGGGGTTTCCAGACAAGATTGAACCAAGTTAACATCCAAAGGGCAACAATTCAAACAGTTATCAAACTGTGAATTACAAAACGTTGTGCCCCACCTACAGGAAAATGTGGAATTTAGGTGAATTAATGTATATGTCTGACATTATTCCTAGGCCTTAATTCCAAAACGTTTTATTGACTTCAGTCAAACTTGTACATACCAATTTCTCCTTTGCAGATTCCTTTGTTCTTTTTCTTTTGGGTTTGGTACTGGCCTAGAATCACAAAATTACAAAATGAAAATTTGCAAGGATAACAGTGCAAGGGTAATAGCAAAGATGATTGCTGTAAAGCTAGGATTTGACCATAAAAAAGGGCAACATGTCTTTGGTATAAGATAAGAAAGTAAATTTATTGAGATGGTGTTTAATCTAATTTTAGAACAATAGTGTTATTTTGATTATGTCAATTTGCCATGTATTTAGTAACATAAATGTATACGTTATTTTTCATAATATTTACATGTCACACATGTATTTGGCTATGAATTTCTATTGTTTAATGCTGAGCCCTCATTAATTAATCAAAGCGTAATATAATGATAATTTAATAGGTTTAAAAAATTATTCAAAACTAGGTATATATAAAAATTTAAGCAGGTTAACCAGAAGGCAACTAGAGCTGTCGCCAGGATGGCTGACTAAAACCCCCACTTTCGCCAAGTTATGTATATTTAGGAGTTATACTTTCAACGTATTTAGCAGAATAAATTATATATTTGTTTAAACACAAAAATGTTGGTGCACAGGAGTTGTACGTACAACTTTTTTGCACAAAGGGGCATAACTCCATCAAAAAGGGTTGAAATCCCAAATTGAAATGCCAGTGCACAACTACATAAAATACCGTTCATTAATGCAAAGTTTCAATGAAATCCACCGGTTAGTAAAAGAGGAGTTGCATGGACAAGTATTTCGCACAAAGGGACATAACTCCATCAAAAAGGGTCAAATCCCAAATTAAAACGCTGGCGACAACTACATACGATACCAATTATTCATGCGAAGTTTCAATGAAATACACCAGTTAGTTAAGGAGTTTTCCATACAAGTTACTGTTGAGGACAGATAGACAGACATCCAGATCGGTCCATACCATGCAATATACTTTGTTGCGGGGGTATTAATAGCGCTTTTACATCAAGTACACAATAGTATAAACATCATGTAATGAGATAATATATCCAGATGAAGTACAGGCACATTTTGGAATAATTTCTAAATAAGATGCATATTTGTACATTGGTTTCTTAATTCAATATATAACAGAGGATACAAGTTTTGAGTCTTTTCCTTTTTGTAAGTGGTAACCTTGACATTCTCACCCAATCTTCTTTATACTGTGCATAATTTACACCAACATAACATTCTGTCTTACCTGCTGATCTACATTATCCACAGCCTCATTAAGGTGTTCTTCCTCATCAGAGCTATGATGTTGACTGACCTAAATAAAAAGAAATTCATATAACTACAAAAAGTTACACAAATTTCCAAGCTAGCTTTTACACAATTGATCAATGAAGACTAAATTATAAATTCTTTTTGTGGCAAGTTATAAGTAGTGCTGCATCAAATGATTGCTGTACAGTAAAAATATCAATCATAGCAATGTCAAATGCTCTGTAAACCCCAAGTATTAGATGTACATAGATGAGTTGAATGATGCTTCAATGTTTACATATTTTCATATCAATCATTCTTAGTCACAAATAATGTCTGTTAATTGTTTCTTATTAAGACTGAGATAAGGGTGTGGTTTGTTTTGGAAAAAGATATTTTGATGGCACATATCTGGGTATTAAAAACAGATGACTGAAATCTTACTTAGAAAATATGTTCAAGATTAATAATACTTTTAAGGAAAAAGGATGGGCCAAGAGAAGGTCCTAAAACAATACAACAATGGGAAATCTAATTACCTCTTCCATATCAGTAGGCCATACATCCAAGTAACCCCCACAGGCTCTTGCTCCTCGTCTCTTCTTTTCCCTGTCTAAGGCAATTGAGCGATGCGAAGACTGCCATTGGTCTTCATAGTGATCAAGGTGTGGAACAGATGCTGGAAAAAACAGTAAATAAACACTTAACCATATGTGCCTGGAGAGCCATGTGAGTTTAGTAAAGCAGCAATTCATATCATAGAATTGGTTCAAAATTAACTTTAGTGGTTAATTTATGCTTCAGGTTATTTGTAGAAAGTATCATGATTTACCTTTGTTTCCAATGTGACACAACAATTGACTTTCAATTGAGCCATATTGAACTAAGATTCAAACGAACAGTACTCCAGCATGTTCTGCTACCTTTCATTAAGTAACCGATATTGGATTCATGATATTATTCTCTTTCCCAAATAAGTTTACCATAAGAATATTTAAAATAGTGTTCACTAAAACTGAGCTTTACTAAAACAAGAGGCCCAGGGGCCTTAATAGCTCACCTGGTATTTTATTTTTCAATTTAAAACCTGCTGAGTACCATTCAGGTTTATCAAAGGAGTACAAGTAACAAAGTTGCATCTTCCATTTATAAATATTCAATTCCCTTTGCCCAAAGATTCTCTAAAACAAGTTTGGTTAGGTTAAAATCCCTTCAACGGTACAGAAGGAGAAGGATCTTTAATGTTTTCCTCTATTTCCCCTAATGGGCCCCACTAATCTGCCCCAAAGAAGGGGAATCCACACACCTCAGTTTAAACAAAATTGATTCTTTTCTCCCTAAGCATGCTTCAGACTGCATTTGGTTTAAATCCCTTCACTTGTATAGTAGGAGAAAAAAAATCCTCTATTTCCCCTATTGGGCCCCGCTCCTATGCCGCCAGAAGGCCCACACCCTCCGTTTATACAAACTTGAGTCTCCTTTGTCCAAAGATGCTCTAGGACAAATTTGGTCAAAATCCTTCAATTGGTTGAGGAGAAGATTTTTAAAGATTTACCTATTTTCCCCTATTTGGCCCCGTCCCTCTGCCCCCAGGGGGACCATACCCTCCGTTCATACAAAACTGAGAACCCTTTGGCCAATGATGCTCCAGACCAAATTTGGTCAAAATCCCTTCATCGGTACAAAAGGAGAAGGATATTTGATGTTTTCCTCTATTTCCCCTAATGGGCCCCACCCATCTGCCCTTAGAAGGAGGCCCACACACCTCAGTTTATACAAAATTGATTCTTTTGTCCCTAATCATGCTTCAGACTGCATTTGGTTAAAATCCCTTCACTTGTATAGCAGGAGAAAAAAAATCCTCTATTTCCCCTATTGGGCCCCGCCCCTCCGCCCCCAGAGGGGCCACACCCTCCGTTTATACAAACTTGAGCCTTCTTTGTCCAAAGATGCTCTAGGACAAATTTGGTCAAAATCCTTCAATTGGTTGAGAAGAAGAACATTTTTAAATATTTACCTTTTTTCCCCTTATTTGGCCCCGCCCCTCTGCCCCCAGGGGGGTTATACCCTCCTTTTATACAAAACTGAAAGAACCCTTTGGCCAATAATGCTCCTGACCAAATTTGGTCAAAATCCTCTGAGCCATTCAGGACAAGTAGCATTTTAAAGGAAAAAATGGACGGACGCTGGACGCCGGACGCCGGACAACGGACGCTGCACCATGGGATAAGCTCACTTGGCCCTTCGAGCCAGGTGAGCTAAAAAACAGGATATCACATGCCTTGCAGGAAGATGGTTGAAACTGAAATCTATACAAAATTTATATGAAAGAATATTTCTTACCTGATATTTCAATAACTTCCACCTTGAGATTCTCTTTCCCCCATTTGCAAAAGCACTGAGTGCCTTTTGCTAGTTCTTCAGACTCATATATCAGCTTCTTTGTTGATACGACTGTAGTGAAACCATCAATGTCAAATAAAACCAAAGCCCACTCTGGACAGGTAAAGTTAAAGGCCATGATCTGAAAACGAAAACAAAATTGAGAATTTATTAAATGGTTCTTTTGGTTTGGTTTGTTAGTTTTTATTATTGAATACAAAAACCTATAGGTTCTCAATTGACATCTGCTGCTTATATAATCTTCTTTACAAATGAATTTATTCTCATCCATTATAACACAAATGAATTATTGGAATTATTAGATTATTTTAAAATCTTGGTTACCATTATACAATAAAATTTAGTTTAAACATTGAAATCAAAGGGACCTCGAAATTTTTTTAAAAAGTTATGGTTCATTGGTAACAAACAATGTTCGGCTGACCAATCACAAGTGAGACTTGACGACATCAAATAATGCAAAAACTGGATTGCCAAAACCTTTGATAAACCAGTATTTAATCAACATTCAGGAAAAAAAGGAAATGGAAACAACAACTCTTTAGCAGCAAACAAGTTCATATTTCTTAAGTCAGAAAAGTTGTTTAAGTATTTGATCTTTCATTGATTTTTTTTTTTTATTTAAATGTCATATTGTTATCATCCTGTTTCTTAGTTATCCATTAACATTTCATAAGATATTCTAATTAAGAGGACACCTACAAAATATCTAAATTGTGCACATACATGTGTATAAACTATAATACATATTATTGGTGGATCCGGGGATGGGGTGAATAGAGGAAATTGTTGCGGATGGAAACCTGAACCTTTTGCAGATAGAGAAAAAAAAATTCTACAACTGGTATGATGCTGAATTGCCCCTAACCCCTGTACTCTATCAGGAATTTGCCCCTGGACCATGTTTAGAAGGTAAACACCCCCTGGTCATCCCCATCACCACCCCTAACCACTTCCTTGATCAACACCTGTTTAGGTGAAATTGAAAACTTTCATGTATTGAGGTTGGACTGTAGACATTAGGTCTCATGTCAATTTGACACTGACCCCTATACCCTCTGTAGTACACACCCACTCTTTTCAGGGCATAACATACATCTTACCCTTTTTATATGGCAGAAATATAAACACTAACATATCACAACATATAAAACATAAAAAATGGTTTTAATTTATGAAATACATTGTATGCTGCTGTTATTGTACATCCCTTATGTTAGCTTGTTGATATAAGGTTAATTATTGTCATAAATTCACCCTGAAGGTGAAGGCTGGGTCAAACAAATTAATAACAAGTCTGAATAAATGACTAGCTTACGTAACTATAACAGCTCTGCAAAACGAAGTTACGTTAGCTGCAACCTCCTGATAAGCCAGGGTGACATCAGCCTTGAGGTCGCGACCTTCCTGTAGCTGTTGACTCTCCAGGTTACGCAGCTGTTTGGTGAGTTTTTCTGACAGGCAGTACTTAGGAACAAGGGCCAGCACTTGTCCCTCAATACGAGTCTTGTGACCTCCGAACTCTATTCCTGCTGTCTCAATGTCATCAAACTCTGCATCAGGAATCCCTGGAGTCAGAAAACAGTGGCATTTAATACCATGACTACATTTATATAAATGGATTTAGCTCTACAGCCTTGAACAATACAGCTATCACTGTTCCCAGCCATAAGTTGCTGGATTATGAAATGTTTGGATAACTGGTACATGTTTGAATTCCTTAAAACTATTTCTAGATCGATCTTGATTCAACCGGATTAAAAATAACTGAATTAATAATTTTTCACAGAATACAGTTTGCTTAAATCAAGTTTGTTGGAAGAGTTAAACTATAACAATGTCCTATTTGTTTCATTTTCCTTTTATTGAAGATGTTTTTAGCTTTGTTTCTACTACCTAATAACCAAGATATATTACAATACATTGGTCTCCATCGTGTCAGCACATAATGACCTAGTAAGCTCGACTGTACCTAATAACCAAGATATATTACAATACATTGGTCTCCATTGTGTCATCACATAAATGACCCAGTAAGTCCAACTGTACCTTATAACCAAAATATATTACAATACATTGGTCTCCATTGTGTCATCACATAAATGACCCAGTAAGTCCAACTGTACCTTATGACCAAGATATATTACAATACATTGGTCTCCATTGTGTCATCACATAAATGACCCAGTAAGTCCAACTGTACCTTATAACCAAAATATATTACAATACATTGGTCTCCATTGTGTCATCACATAATGACCTAGTAAGCTCGACTGTACCTTATACCCAAGATATATTACAATACATTGGTCTCCATTGTGTCATCACATAAATGACCCAGTAAGTCCAACTGTACCTTATGACCAAGATATATTACAATACATTGGTCTCCATTGTGTCATCACATAAATGACCCAGTAAGTCCAACTGTACCTTATAACCAAAATATATTACAATACATTGGTCTCCATTGTGTCATCACATAAATGACCCAGTAAGTCCAACTGTACCTTATAACCAAAATATATTACAATACATTGGTCTCCATTGTGTCATCACATAAATGACCCAGTAAGTCCAACTGTACCTGATAACCAAGATATATTACAATACATTGGTCTCCATTGTGTCATCACATAAATGACCCAGTAAGTCCAACTGTACCTTATAACCAAGATATATTACAATACATTGGTCTCCATTGTGTCATCACATTATGACCTAGTAAGTCCGACTGTACCTTATAACCAAGATATATTACAATACATTGGTCTCCATTGTGTCATCACATAATGACCTAGTAAGTCCGACTGTACCTTATAACCAAGATATATTACAATACATTGGTCTCCATTGTGTCATCACATAATGACCTAGTAAGTCCGACTGTACCTTATAACCAAGATATATTACAATACATTGGTCTCCATTGTGTCATCACATAATGACCTAGTAAGTCCGACTGTACCTTATAACCAAGATATATTACAATACATTGGTCTCCATTGTGTCATCACATAATGACCTAGTAAGTCCGACTGTACCTTATAACCAAGATATATTACAATACATTGGTCTCCATTGTGTCATCACATAATGACCTAGTAAGTCCGACTGTACCTTATAACCAAGATATATTACAATACATTGGTCTCCATTGTGTCATCACATAATGACCTAGTAAGTCCGACTGTACCTTATAACCAAGATATATTACAATACATTGGTCTCCATTGTGTCATCACATAATGACCTAGTAAGTCCGACTGTACCTTATAACCAAGATATATTACAATACATTGGTCTCCATTGTGTCATCACATAATGACCTAGTAAGTCCGACTGTACCTTATAACCAAGATATATTACAATACATTGGTCTCCATTGTGTCATCACATAATGACCTAGTAAGTCCGACTGTACCTTATAACCAAGATATATTACAATACATTGGTCTCCATTGTGTCATCACATAATGACCTAGTAAGTCCGACTGTACCTTATAACCAAGATATATTACAATACATTGGTCTCCATTGTGTCATCACATAATGACCTAGTAAGTCCGACTGTACCTTATAACCAAGATATATTACAATACATTGGTCTCCATTGTGTCATCACATAATGACCTAGTAAGTCCGACTGTACCTTATAACCAAGATATATTACAATACATTGGTCTCCATTGTGTCATCACATTATGACCTAGTAAGTCCGACTGTACCTTATAACCAAGATATATTACAATACATTGGTCTCCATTGTGTCATCACATAATGACCTAGTAAGTCCGACTGTACCTTATAACCAAGATATATTACAATACATTGGTCTCCATTGTGTCATCACATTATGACCTAGTAAGTCCGACTGTACCTTATAACCAAGATATATTACAATACATTGGTCTCCATTGTGTCATCACATAATGACCTAGTAAGTCCGACTGTACCTTATAACCAAGATATATTACAATACATTGGTCTCCATTGTGTCATCACATTATGACCTAGTAAGTCCGACTGTACCTTATAACCAAGATATATTACAATACATTGGTCTCCATTGTGTCATCACATAATGACCTAGTAAGTCCGACTGTACCTTATAACCAAGATATATTACAATACATTGGTCTCCATTGTGTCATCACATTATGACCTAGTAAGTCCGACTGTACCTTATAACCAAGATATATTACAATACATTGGTCTCCAATGTGTCATCACATTATGACCTAGTAAGCTCGACTGTACCTTATAACCAAGATATATTACAATACATTGGTCTCCATTGTGTCAGCACATAATGACCTATCTGTTTTATATTGTTGCCGTCCAAACAGTCTTCGATAGTTGACCCTGGCAATCACGGCAGTTGTCAGAGCAAGTTCCTGTAACGCTGACAGATTTAGTGATTGCTGGCCATCCAGTAGGATGTTGTTGAACACATCCCCATGGGCAAATATATACTGTAGCACCTGGAGAGTTTAAAAATTGGTACTTAAAATGTTCGGCATGATTTGTTATTATTTATCTTCAGATTTCCACATAGAACTGGACGTCTTACTACGGACTGTCGGAGAGATCAGTTCACGAAACAAATGGTTACATATTTTTCATTAATTCAATATTGTTCTTGCTTGCAATTATGTTAGTAACTGAGTTTTACAGCATCAGGGGGAGTTTTTTATTTGAAGGTGATAAAGAAAATCATATAAATGTTCAATGCAGATTCAAGTCCTTTAAAAGGAAGAGCATTAGCTAGCACAGCCACAGTGTCAGGGTTGTAGACAGAACACTTTCATTTTCAGGTAATATGTTTCAGTGTACCTGCAGGTGTCCAGCATCCTGGTTCTCTATACCGAGGGAAGTGAGAAGTGCCAGACACAGCTTCAGGCTGGCAAACAACACATGCTGATACCTTGCCATCGGGCTCGGAATGAACTCCTCAGATTCTAGGAACCCCTGGGTATCTCTCGACCTGTGTCAAAAACATGTCTATTACTGTCAAAATTACACTTGCTAACAGCTCTGTAATCTCTCCATCTCAAATCCATCAAACTGTAAAAGTAAAAGGGTACTACCAATCTTTTCTTTAGACTCTATTCAAATGGAATCATTAAACCCTTACAGATCTGCAGCATGGACTGCAATTCCAGTATGGGCTGCCAGTATGCTGCTGGCATGCTGCTGGCATGCTGCAGACCAAGCAGCATGCAAGCAGCATGGTATGCAAATTATGCTGTGACTACAGTATGGGCTGCGAGTATGCTGCTGGAATGCTGCATCAGCAGGATGGTCATGCTGCCAGTATGCTGCATATACATAGGTAGTTATAGGGTTTCAAGGACAAAGCTTTCAGTATGTTGTCAAAACTTTGCCAGGATTCTGTGCATGCTGTCAGAATGCTGCATAAACATAGATAGTTTAAGGTCTTGAAGGACAATGCTGCCAGTATGTTGTCAAAACTTTGCCAGGAGTCTGTGCATGCTGTCAGTATGCTGCATAAACATAGATAGTTTTAGGTTTTAAGGACAATATATATATAATGCTGCCAGTATGCTGTCAAAACTTTGCCAGGATTCTGTGCACATACTGCCATAATTATAAGTAGTTAGCCAAGATATGTTCACTTATAAAGAACATTCAGTAACTTTTTTGTACTCCTGATAAAAGGTACAAAAAGTTATCACTTTTTGATACCTTAATTAAAACTTAAACTTTACTAGTGTACCTTTTTGTAACTTCTCTGGACTTTAAAAATTCTGATATAACTTTAAGTACCTTTTCTGGACTTAGAAAATAATTACAATGCAGGTGAAAAACTTTGGTATAACTTTATAAGTTAGAACATTTTTGGTACAGTGGAACACAGTTATTATGATATATCGGTTATTATGATATTTTCCCCGTGTACCGATCTTTTCCTTCTTTAACTAGGCAAAAAATATTGTTTATTATGATATGGTCAAAGGTAGGACCCTGCTTGTTATTGGGTTTTTTTCTGCCGTGAATGAATTTTTTAAGGTAAAAACTCAGGTAAGTTTTCTGTGTGAAACACCGGGAAAATTACGTAATATGTCCGGCTAACTGTACATCGCCCGAGGTAATCATCGGTCCACTCAAGGTAAATTTTTCACACCCCAGTCAGCGGAAAACAATAGATCGACCATCGCTTGCTGGTCATACATTTTAGTCTTAACAAAACATGTGGTGCAGTTAATTGCTGTAGGACTGTATATCAAATTCAAATAATTAGCTATAGGCCTACTGAATAGAAATTCTGATAAGACAACGAGCAAATATTCACGGTTACCTTGACCAGTCATGTGAGAAAATCATGCCAATTTCAATGAAAATAATACTTCAGAAGGAAGACCTGTGCATTTAATCATTTAAGCAATAGTTTCTTAATTGCATTAGAAGTTAATTTCCCGTGTTTCCGTTGAAAAAAGTGTCATATAGGACTAAGACCACAATTAATTTTACTGTATGTTTCATTGTAACATTTAATTTCATAACAAATTCCCAATATCCGATAGCCAACTTTCCATCTAACCTGGTCAAGAGCAACATCTTGGGAGTAAAATATCAAAATTTCAACATAGCATGTTGGCCTTTTTCTTGAGATAATCGTCTGCATGTGTCACCAATGTCAAAAATAAACTTCCGGGTCAGGGGTAGAGGTCAACACAGGACTTTTCACACAGCACCTTGCACCAAAAAATAAATGCACAATATAAAAATTTGACACAGAAATTGTTAGATTGATATCTCCACAGTATTTTAACACCAAACTTTTACAAAAACACCAAGTTCTAAGAGGCATAGTATAGTTTTTATAAGTGATTTACGAAGTAGAATAATATCTCCACTTACTCAAATAAAGAGTTTACATTATAATCTTCAGCTTAAGTT